GTATACCAAAGGCATGACACTCAAAGATAAATCAAATACCATTGCAATGCAGTGCTTTTCTCTTTATCCCTGTTCACTCTTATAAACCCATAAAAAAAAACACTATGTGGTATAGTTATAGCCATGCATGAGTGTCATGTTAAAATGAATGTTTTAGTGACTCTGATATGATTATAAAAGTTTACCCAAGGAAACTTTCACTTTTCCAGTTCAACTGGGCCTCACCCCAGTGGAAACTTCACCAACTCACCCAGCATGGCAGCAATTAGTATCCATTAAAAACCTCATGGGTTTACCATCTGCTGCCCCACCACTGTGATATTCAGTAAGTGCTGGGATGTGGGATGCTGGGATGCTAATAAAGGAGTGTGTCAGGGCCTCTGTGGACAGTTCTTTCGAAGTATGCCAGGATAAGAAAAGAGGTAGATGTGGTGGTAGGGTTAGGTGGTGGAGGTGAGAAGTTAAAGGCAGACGGCATGGCTGATCTGATGGTTCCGCTACAGCTCACATAAGAGTGGCTGCCGGTGTCTGTGAATTCCATAAAGGCTGAGGGGAAGATTCCCCCTAGAGAGATTTGGACGATACTGGGAGAGATGGGGTGTAAGTGGTGGTGGTGGTGGTGGTGGGGATTCCCAAGGTGTTCAGCCAGCTCAGTGAATGTGCCCGAATCACCATGACAACTGGGGCTGGCGGGAGTCCGGGGATTCACTCACACCTGGAGGAAACAGAAACATCATTTGCATTTTGCACACAGCCCGGCTCATAGCAGATTAACATGGTTCATGCAGGGTGCAGACATGCTGCCTTTTTCTTTTTTTAAGCTTGAGACAAGAGGGTGTTTGATAAGTAATAAAAAGCTGAACGGTAGGCGATGGAGTCCAGTAGTTCAACATTAAAAGAAAAAGATCCTCTTTATTGACAGATGCTTCTTCAAAGTGTCTGCAAACAGGATGCTGTGTGATCCCACAAATGTCACTGAATCCTGCTGTAATTACCATCCATAAATAATTTAGGTTGATCAGATTGTGTGGGTGTATAACAGAGTACAACATGCATTTCAACTCACTTTTTTATATTCCCTCTCTATCTTTAGAGATAATCGATTTTCAATGTGCTCCGTCTACTTGGCAGGATTTCAGAGGAGAGCGTGGAGTTTTTTGAGCGTATGAATGCCATCCTGCAGAAACAGGAGAACATGATGCGGGCGGCCCAGGCGGAGGTAACCCCCACCTAACTTCCGCATTTCTGTCTGTTACAGGCTTGAAACATGTACAGCGTGTGTAGCGAGTATAGATCTCTGCGCTGTCTTTCAGCCCACCACCATGACCACTCTGACGTCTATAGACAGACGGACTAGGTTAAGCAGGGCGCTCAAAGGGCTGGAAACTCGGCTGTGACAAACTGCTGTCGAGGCTGTGTTCAGTTTCTCCTACTGCCAATGCTAGACAGTGATGCTTTTTAAAAATTTGTAGCAAATGCTTGATGATTTCATTTCCAAATTGCTG